CACTACTAATTCAATTTCTGCTACTACCACTATCATCACTACAATGACCACCATTACTACCTCCACCGCTGCCATTACTACAACGATATACTATCACTATTATTAATAATGTAATAGATACTCCAAACAGTGCTCCAACCAACATCACCATTACTACTATTATCATCAACTATTGTTGGGGGGACTTTAATTTCTTATGAAAGTACATGAAGAAGAGATACTTAGGTCGATCTCACCAGATGAGGGCAGATGAATTTCGTTGTACAGTAGCCGTTTGGCTTTTATACGACGTTTAGTTTGACGCTGCTACAAGATTGTTTGCTCATGGTTGGATGTTATGTTGGTGAGACATACCGACCTATTCGACAAAGATTGGGAAAAGACAAAAATGCTTGTAAAGGAAGCTGGGTCCAAAGGTCAGAAGTGGCCGAGAACATGACAGAAACTGGACATGAAATAGAATGGTTTCGCACTTGAAGGTTTGCTGATTATGGTACGTCTGTGATTAAAAGAAAGATAAGAGAGGCTATTGAAATTAATAGCTTAGAAAATACGTTGAATGTGAAGAATGGTGGTGTAAAGTTAAGTAGGAACTAAGTATGCTTGATTGATAGATTGAAGGAGAGAGAGAGAGTGTTGAGCCACCATCCAAAAGAAGGCGACTTGTCCTCTCAGTAATGATTCTAATTTAACTCACATTCATCCAACATATTAGATTAATAGAAGTGGGTTGACCTCATTGTCACAACTTGGTCTTGTTGTCAGGGCGATCTAGTAGAACGCACCTAGTCCGAAGTCGTCTGCCATAGTAGTTGTCATGATTCCCTGCATCAAACTGTGGACTTGGTACATTCTCAAGCGTTTCGCTGATATCGTAGTCGGTATCATCAATGAGTTTTGCCATTCTCCGCACCAAGCTACGAACTCGTCAAAGAGACAAGTGAAGTCAATCACTCAACATCTTTTCTCAATATCTTCAATTAAATTACGGTAGTAAAATTGCCAAAAAATGCACTGAATACAGCCGGACAAAGAAGATGATGGCAAGTCAATATTCCCATCTAAATTTTTTAAACTGTAGTAAACTTTATGATATCACTCCTAAGTTCTGTGAACTTAAGAGACCCTACCACTCGGATAAGGTTAATAAGTATCTCCACCAGGCTTCTATTCTGAAAGTAAGTGAGACCTACGATACATAACGAAGTAAATTGTTTAAGTTGATAGATATCAAGTCAAAGCTCCGGCGTGATATGGTCAAGATTCCGTCTCGGGAAGATTTTCAAAAAGTTAAAGCCAGTAAGCCCAGTTAAAGGGGCTTTCGAGGTGACAACACTTAATGATCAGCACGAGGATAGGAAGAACGTACTGAACTTATCATAAATTCCTCTCAATCCCGAAACAACCGCGTTCCTGGAAAAAAGGACTCAATTTTTCAATTCAACATAACAGAAGCCTTCTAGGAGACATCCTGTTGGAGGTTATCAATATCGCCGACAAGTTCCTTGAGGAGAGAAAACGGGAAATGGAGATGGAACTAATTCCGCAGATCTTGACACATCAGGAGCCTTCAAACAGGAAGAGATTTGCCGTGATACTCAAAAACATGGAAACGAATGGACAATTAGTCCTTCAGGCGGACAAAGGAGGAGCTACAGTGATAATGGACAAAAAA